ATAATTTTTCAGTTGTCTATTTTCATCGGGCATAGCCTGCCTCGTTATAGAAACAATAATCTTTATAACTACTCAGATATTTGGAATTAATAAAAAAATGAAATATTGCAGTTAAAAAAAATCTAAATAAAGCAATAATTCTTTTTAAGGACAAGATTGGTATAGTTTTACAATTTAATTTTGGCTTGGATTATGTCGATGTTATTTAGAGAACTAAATAAAGCAGGATGTTCTAGCACAACCTCACTATTTTAGTAATAACTTGAAAACGAAAAAAGATATCAACCTCCGGTTTGTGTATTTGTTTTCCATAATGAATGGTCTATCAAGCCATGAAAAAAAACTTATATCGTTGCATTTAATTTTTTTAGTAAACGGAGACAATTACAAAACTTCTCTCATTAGCATCATCTACCATTGCGCAGGAAAATAATATTTGTATTCCTATATCATAAAAACAAATTTTATTAATAGTTCTTTAAAATGGGCCATCGTTTATTGAAATTGATAGCGTCCTTCGTACTGATGTTGCTATGGTAATAACAAAAAAAAAGTTCAAACAAAACTTGTGAAGGGTTTAACAGTGTATCTAAAAAATGTATTTTGCAACTTAGGTTATATAAGCGAAATTTCAAAAAACCGACAATTTTCTGTAACACTATAGCAGTTGCGCCCCCTAGCGGTGAAGTTATAAACTTGAAAATATTTTAAATCAATTTCTTTTGGTCGTATTTGTTAATAGATTTTTTACCCCATAATCGTAGCACGTCTAGTTTTCTATATACAGCCGCTCGATACCGTTAATGGATCACCCTGTATAGTACTCTTTAGAGGAAAATGTAGATAAAACCATAGGAAAAAGGGAGGGCAATTAAAAATTAATATTTTTGCATACAAAGGAACCGTGGAAATGTTTAAATTAAAATACATCAATGCAATATGTAGAGATAAACAATAGTGCAGGAATTGAAATTAATATTTTCCAAATTCCTGACTAAATATTAGCCTGTGATATTCAAATGTATATAAAAGAACCTGTTTTATATAATTTTTATTACCAATTACTTTCCGAATTTAAATTTGTATTAATGTACCTACATATTTGGTTGTATTCCCATATTTACCATGGAAGAAAGTTTTTGTGGGCATGCATCATTAAAGAAATTAGTTGGAAAAGATTAGATAAGAGGTATTAGGTATAATAAAGAAAATTAGTAGTAAAAATATGATAGTGCAGAAATTTTAGGTTTGTTCTGTTTCGATATACTTAATAAAGATTTTTATAAATGTCACTATAAAATGTCAGTATTTACTATGTAAAGTTGCTATACTGACAATTATTACAAGATCAACTTTTTGATTCCACTTAGATAAGCGGTAAAGTGTCACTGTCAGTTAATGTAAAATATTATGTGTAATTACACCTATAATCAATAGTTTAAATAGTAATAACTATAAAAAAATTTTTAGTAGGTACATTTCTGCTAATAATAAATAACAAATAAATATCTTACAATTACATACATAATAATATGTATGTACCCATACTGACATCTACTACTGACACTTATAGGGTGATTTCACTTTAAATACAGAAACTGCAGGACTAGATTCATTACCAATAGAGTTTATAGAGTTTGCTCTATAAACTTTTTTCCTGCGGGACTTAGTATTCGAGAAACAGGGTGTTAAAGTTTACAAAAAATATATATTTTCTGTTATATTCTCATAATATTCTGACGGAATTGAGTGAAATTTACTAATGTAATGGAATGTAATATTAACTTTGCAGCTTTAACCAGTGTTGTGCTATTGGAGGTGCCGCCCCATTTTCCTATGAAAAAAATACTCCACTGGAGGTTTCATCAATCAAAAATGTTTCTTGGTGTTTTCTAATAGTAGCAGCTGTTTAGGAGATATTTGGGCTTGTTTTTACGTTTTATTGAATTTTCCTTATAAATTAATCAGTTTATTTGATGAAAACCTGATTTTAACCACGGACGTGCTACTAAAACGTCCGCCAATTTTTCCCAAGAAAAGAATACACCACTGGCGGTTTTTTGTATAATTTTATTTCTGGAAAAAATATCAAAACTATATAATAAAATAACATTAGTAAATAGGTCGAGTAAATAATTATTTTCCCTGAGATTACAATTTTCCTCTGTTTTTTGCTACAATTCGTCTTGTGTTTATAAGCCCAATAAGGACTGCAGCTTCAGGAATAAATAAAGAAAGCTAGTTATAATAATAAAACCAGATCATCGTAAAGCTTACTAACTAATAATGCAAACAAGATTCAATTTTTACTGATAGATTTTAAACAAATATGAGTAGGTGGCCTAAATTTGCGCATTATAGTTGCCAAATAAGTAAATTATCTCCTAAACTGCTGCTACTATTAATTATTACTACAAAGAATCACTTTTCATTCATTTAACGTAACAGTACCTACCTGAATTTAACATTATTTCTACAAAAAACTGCCAGTGGCATATTTTTTTCTTGGGAAAACAGAGCAGCACCTTCACTAGCACGCCACTGGTTAATGCCACGAGGTTAATATTACATTCAATAAAATGTTTAATTACGTGAATATGCTGCAATAAGTTTCATTCAAAATCGTTCAGCGCAATATGAAGATATGACCGAAAATATAATTTTTTTCGGAAACTTGAACATCCTGTATCTCGAATACCACGTCCCCTAGGAAAAAAGTTTATAGAACAAACTTTACTTATTTTTTGGCAACTAATCTGTTTCTGCAGTTTCTGTATTGAAAGTGAAGTCACCTTGTATACTTGATAATTATCAAAAATAACCAAAATGATCAGTCAGTGACCAGTTGCATTTCAAAGTGAATGAATTATTTCAATATGTCCATTAAAATAATTATTTATGGTGCCAATATGTATTTTTTTCCCAACTATGAATGATCGATCATACTTCGTGTGGGTAAAATTTTTCAAATAAAGGACAATGGTATGTTATTATATGTATTACAAAATATAAAAATAGTGTGGAAATGTGCAATAAGCATAACAAGAGGCTAATTCATATTATTTTAAAAAAGGACTGATAAATGGCCAAAATTTACTGAATTTTAAGTAACTGGTTATTTAAGTCATCGGATCTGGGGGGGCTAAGGCCCTAATATGAAAAAATGTATATATTTTTTTCATTTTATTTTTCTGTATGTATCAACGTAAGGTAAGTATATTTTTCTACCAATCCATAAATATTAAAATTAAATGAAAAAAAATAATTTTTTTTTCAGTCAAATAATTTTATTTTAAAAGTTATTAAAATAAATTCTTCCCGAATATCGTCTAGAATCAGGGATTTTGAAATGTCACTTTCAATGTTAGCAAGTGCTAAAGAACTGAATCGATCTTGACCCACGGTTGACCTTAAAATTTGGAAATGTGTCTTTTCTGACAACATAAATGTAATATCGGATATACCTACTAATATTTTCGTCCCGTTTCCTGACACAGTTCTTTATTACGGTCGTTTCCGCTTTTAAAACCTCTTTATCAATTCCTACTTCTGTTGGGCAGTGACGCCGACTTGGCTTCGATTGAAATAACTTTCAAGTATGAAGTTATTAAATTATACAATTTTTTTTTGAAGTATGTTTTTTATTTTCTGTTCTGATGTGTATGTGTAATAATGTTTTTGGGGAGGCTAATTCGGATTTTGGAGGGGCTTAGCCCCAAGCCCCCCCTTAACTTCGCCCATGGTTGTAGTTTCTTAGTACCCTGCTTTTTAAGACATAATCAATAGCCTAAAGCGGAGAAAAACTAATTTGAATACTTAATAAGTAAAATAACATTCTTTCATTCTTCGATATTTTGTCTTATTCTTTAGGTGATAATTTAATTTTATCGTCATATCCAAACCAAAATTTAAAAAGTCGTATGTCTTCGTGAGCAGAATTGAAAAAGCTTTAGAATGAGGAGTCACATAGTACCTCGTTTTTTTTTATTTTTTTTTTAATTCCGATATTTTCCAGGTGNTTACCCCCCCCAAGCCCCCCCTTAACTTCGCCCATGCCATCACTAACTTTTACTGGTTATTTTACGAGATGTCTCAATATTCTATGTACATTTAGTTACCACTGCTACATATATAGGGCATTTTAAACATCTTTCAAACATTTTGTCTAATTTAAATTAAATTTTGTATAGATGTCATATTGTACACTAAGTAATAGAAAAATGAGAGAAATACCTGCTCCTCAAAACAAATAAACTCAAACGTTAAGTATATACAAAAAATTATTCTGCATTATATGTTCTTATTGTTTTGTGAGTGGACTGTATATTTGTTGGGTTTTTATCGAGTTCTTGTATTAAATAGTTCAAAATTCAAATTATCGAGACATTTATTATTTTTATTTATATTATTGACAGAAAGTGTTTCCTAGTTACATACAGCTTACTATTTTAATTAATAATTATTTTATAGATTTTAAAACTAAGTAAACATTATAAATTTATGAAATTTCAGACAATTTGATGTAGATTAATGTGACGTAAGCAAATATTTAATAAAAAAATACCTAGTGATTTTCATAAAATTGTATGATTTTAAGGGTTTATCAAGTACATCTAGGTCACTTTAAAAAAAGTACATTCAAATTCGGAGAAAAGGGGTGTCCTGGTTCTTAGTGGGCCAGACTGTCTATTTGTCAGTGACCATATAAGATCGGTTATTATTCTACCACAAAGATGAGGCTTATTTCAATTTTTTCTTTTGTATTTCTAATAGTTTACACATAATTGCAAATCGAATTCAATTATTAAACAAATGGATATAATATAATTCATCCAAGTCCAATACAAGACTTTCAATTATAGAGTGATCAACTTTTCTCCAACCATTTATATTAGGAAATTAATTCATAAGACCATCTCAATTACCTTAGACAAGAAATTAAAAATTAAATTTTAAACACCCTGTCAAATTGGCTAAAAGAAAAATCACAAAAAACCTACCAAAATATACAAAACACTCTGTAGACCACTCTTCGGCTACGGTCATACTCTTTTTCTCAATTGTGGCAAAGCAACCAAAAATATTCTTCAAATGATAGAATCATCTCATAGAAGTATAACTGAAACTCAACATCCTATCAAATCTCTACACAATTTTTTGAATAATAATCCTCTACATAATATTATATAACACATAATGTATTATATATCGTATATAATATATATGTACTACAAAATCATCTGTATAATATCACAAATATTCAACTTTTCATCACAGACTGCAAAAACCTTTGTTACAAGAAGTAACTTAGAAATACTTCAATAATTATTAATTTCAAAAAATGATCACTAACAATTAATTGGTGAATGGATAAATGCATTAATACATACAATGTTTTAAAAAAAATTATGTAATTATTTGATTCTTCTTTTTCCTAGAATGTTCTTTAACTAATTATTTTAGAATTAAACAGGCTGATGGTTGATAATCTCTTATTGGTGTTGCTGCGATCAGTGGTTTGTGAGTTATTTGCAATTGCCACCATTCAGGTATTGTGAAAATGAAAAATGTCACAAACTATTTCCCAAACCTAATGTTTATTTTAATCAATATAGAACTTTTATTATTATTACTATTAAATAAAAATAAAAATAAAATTTTTAATAAAAGGGTACGAAATATTAAGATATTTTAGAAAACATTAAAAAATATGTCTTGGTTGTATAAGAATTTATCTAATTTTGATTGTGATCATGATACTATCAGCTTTGGGTGTAAAATACATAGGGAATTAATAAAATACTGAATCTAAATGGATGTATCCACAGAGTTTGGCCTAAAAAGTGGTTTAACTAAATCTAACAAAAATGCTTAATGTTCTAATAAAAAATGACAATTACAAAAAAAAACTCATAATGAAAAAAATAAGAACTACAGTTGTGGGGTCGCTCTCGCAACAAATGAGTAACACATTTGCTTAGAGGTGGGAACATCTAATATAATTACTGTAAATGCAATTAATTACTTTGTACACCAATACTAGTATGCCAAATTTCCGAGAAAATTTCATTTAAATCTGACATAGATGACAGCTATCTGCAAGAAACCAAATTATTTCGTTAACCTTGGCACCCTTTGCAATTTTAAATAGAGTTAAATTCAATTAAATCACATAATTTTGACTGTCGTAGCTCCATGTACACAAAATGTTCAGTCATCCTGTAATAAAACCACTATCACCCTATGCTTTAATGAAGATACTTATTCAATAAAATGATTCTTGCAAAGAATTTAGAATTATATTAGGTAGATTGGTAAGGTAATATTTATTAAACTACCATAAATATGGCAATAATATTTAATATTATTACTTCAATATAAAAACACTCGCAATTATAACATTGTAAAGTCGATTAACAGTAAAATAATGCTAAAATGTTTAGTACTATACTATACTACACAATTTTACAGTCTTATGTATATGACTACATATGTAAATAAAAAAACTATCTTTGTATCAGTTAAAATAGTAATAAAGATGAAAGTATTTCCAAAAGCTATTGTACTTCGAGTGAATGGCAACAGAGGGTGGTGTGGAATTTATATCAGATGAATCAATATTTCTGGCAATATTACCTGAATGTAGATCATATTGTTCTGTGGGTTCAATGCCACCTTTAGGATTGTGTTCTTTTAATTTCGTCTTGTCTCTGGATTTAAGTGAACAGTAGTCTAACTTATCTCTCATAAGTTGCTCTTCTTTAAGTCTTTCCTCTTCTTTTATTATTTTACATGCTCTGCTTACCCCTTCTGTTTTACAGTAATCTCTATACTTTTTAGTTGCTTCCCTTAAACGTTGCAAAAAATCGGGCATAGCTCTCATAGACACCCATGTTGTGACCGAGGATGGTACATTTACCCCTGGATTATCGAAATAAGTCAGACTGAATTCAATTCCAGGCTTATTTGTTTCAGTGTAAGGTTTTATTACCATACATGACCAGTAATCTTCAATACGGTATTTTTCTGCATATTTCGGGAAATTAGGATGTTCTGTACTTTTGCTGACTATATACATAGTGGAGTTTTCCTCATCGACAAAGTATCGACGGTTAAATACATAATCTCTATTGACAAATAATCTCTGAAATAAAATAACTATGCATTAATTTTAACAATTAATTAACATTGAAAGTTTTAGGTTAGTAAAGCTGAAAAATTTTCAAATATGTAATTTAAAATTATGAACTTTTTACACAATACCGATAATCCCTAATTCATTCTTAGAAATGGAAATATACAGGGTGTTTCAGAAAGATCTCCCATATTTACAGGGGGTGATACTATGAAAAAAATAAGAATTTTTTGTCTTATGAGCTATATGTCTATCTCCTCTTGTTTTCAAGATACGGAACAACAAAATAAAATTTTTTAAATAGAATTTTTACGAAAATTTTCAAATGGTGCGAAATATTGTTATGAAGTTTGGTATTCCAGAGTTTTTAAGGATGCCAAATACGTTGGTCTAATTATTTTTTGTATATTTCATAGAGGGCACTAGTTATGCTACATTCCCATTACATTTTAAGTTTCAATTTGTTTAAGGTTAGGTTTTTTACCATTCGGTCTCCAATTTCTAGTGCACAATTTTATTTTCTATAAATAATGTACTCTTGTTAGAACTTCCTAATGTGGACGGTTTTTGAGAAAAATGGCTTTTAATTGAACTTTTACAATATTACGGTGTATAAAATAAGTGACTTTTCTCAAAGTAGGCTTATGTCAAATCTTATTGATGGATGTCTCATAAACAACGCATACATTCTTGGTAATATTTTAAACTTTAATTAACTGTATATCAATTTGTTATATCAAAGATTTTAAAAATAATATGATTTTAAAAACCGACCACTGTATGGCCCTGTACAGTGAAAACGGTGAGTCTTAGACTTAGACCCTTGCTTTATAAGGCAATTCTAAATTATTTATTCAGTTCTATTTGTGGATAAAGTTTGATTCACTCTAACTGAAACACCCTGTATATTATATTAACGAAATATTTACCAATTAAAAATATGTAAATATATACAGTGCTTCATGTTTCTCTGTGCATTTAAGAATGGTGTAGAACCATTAAAATTCTGGACAATACAACAAAATTCTGTAATGGCTACCTTACAAGCCCTACATTAAATTGTAGATATATTTAGGACAGATAAAAAAGGTACCTTTTATACAAATCTTTTTTTTGAAAGTGGATCAGAAAGGAAATATTCTTTTAAGGGGTATGATAAATAGTCATGTATTTTGTGATATCTTACAAATCTTTCTAGATATCTTCTAGATCTAGACATCTAGATAGATTCGCGAATAAATAGAAAACGATACATATTAAACATTTTTATGAATAAACCGAAAGGGAAACTGCGGTAGTGGTTTAGTGTACAGCTTGAGTAATATTTGAGTAATACTTCAGTAATATTTGGTCACTAACACAATTATTTATATTGTGTGTATGATGCAGGAATGTGTTATCTTCCTCCTCACCCTAGTCTCTATTATTTCAGTAACACTTGAATAATTAATTGTAAAGGTTTTAGTGTACACATTTAGCAGCGGTTTAACCCTTAGAATAACGGTGCCTAAAAACCAATTTTTTGTATGTACAAATACTTAGATTTGCCACCTTATTAGGATGGCCTAAATCTGTGAACATTTACTTACAGGCCATAACATTTCCCAATAAATTATATCACTATTTGATTCGGGTTCTGGATCACTTTCAGCTACTTCCAAAGCAACTGCAGTAACATCCCACTTCCTGCGATAATCAGTATCTATCTGGACATTTAAAAAATCTTCTGCTGATACATCATTGTATGAACCGTATACTTTATATTCATATTGTCCTGAAGGATGTAACCTTCTCCAAACAATTAAATCATCTTGTTCAATAAAAGTAGCCCACTCATCATAAGTTCTTTTATTTTTAGAGACACCGCACTTGCAAACTGAATGTTTTGTTGATTCTTTATCTTTATTTGTCGTGTCACATGCTAAGCATATTGTATTTTCTTTTAAAATATAAACATAATCTAATTCATTAGCATGTTGTTTGATGTAGTCAATAGAAATTCTGTTTTCTTCCCAATTATAAATAGATATACCAATTCCACCTAATGCAAATTTACTTTTTCTCGTTAAAGTTTGTCGCATTTTCTGAAAAAAATCTTTTAAAGCTTGCTCTTCCCACCATTTTGAATACAAGCAAACCATCTGTTGGCATCTTCTTATTCTATGTGCAAAAACACATTCACAATGATGAACCCAAATCTTAAGAACATTAGAATTACTCTTCGAATGAGGTAGTTGTATAATAAATTTGTACAGCTTTCCACTTTTAATAAACTCTCGAAACCTCTTATTCACCTCTTTAATGCTCTTAAAATCACTGATTTTTTGACGAATTATAAGGGCATACTTTAAAAAGCAATCGTTATGTGCATTTCCCAAAAGTTGTGTTCTAATATTGAGGTTATGTTGCACTGACACAATCGATTGGGAAAGTCTTCTTGGATACATGTTGGAGATAGACGAGATAGTTTTTTTGGCTTAGTTAAATTCTTAGTTACACAATTGTATGTTAAAGGATGGACATGATAGAATGAACTGAAATTTTGACAGTTATGAATGTTGTGAATATGAAAACTTGTAAACAGAAGTAAAATGTAATGTGATCGTGATCAACTCAGTTGCAGATTGACGAAAACAAACCTAGGTAAGTGACGTGAATGTGTTTAAGTTTAATTACCTACTTATACAGTGTGTTAACTTAAATTTCATCTTATCAGAATTTTAGTTTACTGTGATTAATATTAATTTACTATCATCAAATCAAAAAACGTTGTTGTTCGGTTGGGTTATTCCTACAACCTAATTTAGCAATAAATACTAGGATTAAAATAAATACAATTAGATGTAGGTACCCTGTACCCCCAAAATAGAAGTTGAAAATATTCTCTACGAAAGGTCAAAATAATGACGGTCAAGCAGTGGCGGCGTGGTGGCTCTTGGTCGGTTTGTATGAAAAGGCTAAATGTAGCGTAGCTAATTGTTGATATACTGACTACTGACCTTCGCGATTAATAATAGTCATGGGCGCAGCTAGAGGGGGCTATACAGCTCGGTGCCCACCCCAGAAAAATCTATATCGGCATACTTATCAGTAAGTCTCCGACTGCGTGACCTTTTTTTTTAGAATGAAATCAAAACGTGTTAAGGTTATTGAATTTTTTTATCGGCAAGTTGTTGATTGCGAGACCTTTTTTTTTTTTTGAGGCCTATGATAAATTCTATTTTACAAGCAGCATTATAATACGAGTATAACCCAAGATAAAATCGAATAAATACTTGAAGGGAAAAAAATACAAATACATAATTATATTTTATGAATTGAGACAGATAGTAAAAAAAGTTTTTCTTTGCACAGGTAGTGATTTTTACAAGCATACAAAGAGCATAACTCGGAAAGCAAAGAGAATTAATATAAATGAAAGAATTAATTAAATACCCATCTATCTTCCCACTAAACATTTTTCAGTTTCTGACATGTTTCAGAAACGTTTCCATTTTTCTTGAAACGTTTCATAAAAAATTCATGCAACGTTCTGGTAACGTTCTAGAAGCCCAAGATGTCCTCCCCAAAATACGTTTCCAATGAAACGTTTCAAAAAGTTGGTTTCAGTAACATTCTTTTTATGTTCCATTTATGCCTTCGATGTTTTTGTTTTACGTTTCAGTATATTTTCAGAAATGTTTGAGTAACATTATAATTTTATTACCATATTGTTCTCATAATGCTCTCAACTTTAGATCATTTTCATTTCAAAAGCGTTTTTGAAATAGTATAAATAGTGTGAGTATTTTTTTAAATATCTCTAATACTCCTTTGTGATATTTTTATTTGTATTGTGAATGACTTAATTCGAACTAAAAAAAGTTACATTGTATATTAAAAAAAATAAATATGCTCTTCTAGTTTGGGGATGCGGCAACTTTTACTAAGAATTTCTTTCTTTTTGAGAAGCCATTGAAAAAAGTTTCTAATATGGATTATGAATTTTGCCATTCATCGTACAAATAAAAATATCACAAATCAATATCAGAAGCATTAAAAACAACTACACATTTTACATAGTTCAAATACGCTTCTGAAATGTAAATTTTCTAATGTTGAGACCTTCATGAATATGGTAACAATGACGAACTGATAATTAGAAAAAGTTAGTTATGATTATGAATCTTGGTACTTAGGTACATGAAAAACAAATAACATTACTGAAAAATAATATAAAGTTATAATTTCTTCTACGCATGGTCAATATTACATATATCCTTTTAATAATAATAAATTATACAGCAGAAATAAGGATACAAAATGATATCTTGACAAAGTAAATATCTGTAGGTATACCTAAACTCTTTTATTTAAGCATGCCTATACACATAAACAAATATAAACATTTGTACAAAATATAAAATAAATGAGGTCTATTTCACTTGATTCATCCATATTTCAAATGGTTCTCACTAAGTAGTTGATCTTCAAATTATATCGAAACGTATGTTGTTGTTCCATTTTCTTAGTTCTTGTCCCTTGTCCTCTTGTCTGTAATAGTAGTGGGTATAACTATATTTAGGTAGATGTGACGCAAAATTGGAAATCTCTACACATATCGTTTTAAACATTTTGCATCAATATTCATTATTTTATATGCACCTTACAATAACCACAACTGCACACACTACAAATTATCACATAAAATAGCGTCAAAGTAAAGATGAAGAACAACGAAACCAAGCAAACTGACAAACCGCAAACCTAACCTAACATAATACGAATTGAAAGGACACACGGGAAACAAATAAACTCGGGCTGTTACGCGCAGTCTACGCAAGTCACGAACATACGTTTTTTCTAGACTTGTGTTATAAATATGCTACCACATTTTTTTTTCTAATTATGTCTTTATATAACAAAGGCAAATGAACTAACGCTTGAGAAGGATTGGGGATTGAGAGCAAAATTTAACTAATGCCGAATGTTCCATAAGATAAGCAAAAATAGCAAAGGATTGTTCGTCTGTTATGTTTCCGAGATCGAAAGGGAATGTTTCGAGTAATGTTTCAAACTCTCTTCAATTGTAACGTGTCGGCTATGTTTCACTAAATAAGTTTTCAAGTGCTACATTTCTGTAATGAAACAGAAACGTTTCTAGTTAATGTTTCAAATGTTCAGTAAAACATCTCATTTGCAACGTTTCATTTACGTTTCGTGTTTAGTGGGTTTGATATAAATAAATACTTAATTAAAAAGTCTTGCCCAATGGACATTTTAGATAATATAGGTATAGGCAATTAATACATTTTTTACTAAATTTCTTTTTTAAAAATACCTATATAGGTATCTTTATTAGATCTCTTATCTTTTACTTTATTTTAAACTCGATTTTAAACATCTAGTAATGAATAATAATTAACTGATGCTGGAGCAATAAAAATACAAGAATTATTATTTACTAGCTATTTACTAGATATTACTGATGGTATAATTGAGTGTTATTTGGGGCATGTAGCCCTGTTCCGCACAATATTCTCAGTTAAAAATCTTATCTATGAGGTTAAATACCTTTTTGCATACCTAGATTTTTTGGTATCAAAGAATTTTGTTTCATTCAGGACTTATAGGAAATTTTTCGGTTAGTTTAATTCCTTTAAAATAACATTATTTCTAACAAAAAAAAAAATAAAAATTTTGTTGGTGTCTGTCTCTCTGCTTGTCGAATATTAATATACAGAACCTTTATAAATGTTTACAAGCCACGTGACCTTCGAGCTTAAGCAACCAACAATGCGCGGTTGATACTGCCAACCGAAAATCTTTAAATCTTAGTTATCAATATTAATAATGCGGTCGCAATGACCAATAGTACCTTTACACTTACGCTCAATCGTGAGCGACTGGAGCGCCCCGTTCCAATCGCGCGTATTTTCGCGCAACCCAGAGTGTCGCGTTCTAAAACTTTGTTGTTAAAAATTGACACGCTCCAATCGCACGGTATTGTTTGCGCGGTGAAATGTGACGTGATAACACGGCTAGTGTAAATTGAAAAGTGTCAAGTTTCTCGCGCGATAGTCGTGGCTCGTGGAGTGTTAAAAATTTCAACAGTTTTATAGACGGTTTGTTCTGAAATGGAGCAAATTATAAACAAAAAAAGAAAATTAAAAGTGGCTTTTTTTTTTCTTTAGATTTAATCTTCCATAAAGATGGATAGGATTTATATAGCTAAATAAAATTTGTAATTGTTCCTTTTGACCAATATCGTGCATCTGCCATAGTCTATAAAAAAAATATAAAAACGCTTACAAATATGTGAATCCTAGGTAGCTACATTTATATTAAAAAATTTAAAAAAGTACTTATCGTCTTTTAAGAGTAAACTCCACAAGACCGCGTGAAAATCAAAGTAAACTTTACCCTACGTGAAATTTCCGCATGAAAACAACTGGCGAAGTAATGCAGGATTTGACACGTCTAAGAACCGCGCGATTATATACATTTACACTAACAAACTTTCGCGTGTGATTGGAACGGGGCGCTCCAGTCGCTCACGATTGAGCGTAAGTGTAAAGGTACCTAATCGTGAGCGATTGGAGCGCCCCATTCCAATCACACGCGAAAGCTTGTTAGTGTAAATGTATATAATCGCGCGGTTCTTAGACGTGTCAAATCCTGCATTACTTCGCCAGTTGTTTTCATGCGGAAATTTCACGTAGGGTAAAGTTTATTTAGATTTTGACGCGGTCTTGTGGAGTTTACTCTTAAAAGGCGGTAAGTACTTTTTTAAATTTTTTAATATAAACATAGCTACCTAGGATTCGCATATTTGTAAGCGTTTTTGTATTTTTTAAAAAACGGCAAAAGCAACAAAATGGTCAAAAGAAACAATTACAAATTTTATTGAGCTGTATAAATCCTGTCCATGTTTATGGAAGATTAAATCTAAAGATTATACTAATCGAAATTTAAAAAATGCCGCTTACGACAAACTAGTTGAGTTTTGTAAAACTATAAATCCCGAGGCTACTCGGGAATATGTAGTAAAAAAAATTCAAAGTTTTCGTAGTTCCTTTCGAAAAGAACCAAAAAAAGATGGAAGATTCGAAACGAAGTGGTGCCGGTGCCGATGAAATTCATATTCCGACATTGTGGTATTTTGACCTACTACTGTTCACTATCGACCAAGAATTACCAACACCTAGTATCTCTAATATCCATCCATTCATCCATGTTTTTACCCACCACTTTCTTTTTTGCCTTTTATTTGACATATCAAGATAAGCCATAACGCACAAAGCCACTTTTAATTTTCTTTTTTTGTTTATAATTTGCTCCATTTCAGAACAAACCGTCTATAAAACTGTTGAAATGTTTAACACTCCACGAGCCACGCTATCGCGCGAGAAACTTGACACTTTTCAATTTACACTAGCCGTGTTATCATTTCACATTTCACCGCGCAGGCAATACCGTGCGATTGGAGCGTGTCAATTTTTAACAACAAAGTTTTAGAACGCGACACTCAGGGTTGCGCGAAAATACGCTCGATTGGAACAGGGCGCTCCAGTCGCTCACGATTGAGCGTAAGTGTAAAGGTACCTAATGACATACTGTTGCATCTACGCTCGAGATAATGCGATTGCTGATTGATTGAATAG